GCGGGAGGACGAGTTGAGGAGAAGAGGAGAATGGCTGCCAGAAAAAAAAAAAAAAAAAAAAAACAGGGCGCCGAAAGGGGATACGCGAATGGCCTCCCTGCCGCGTGATGCGCCACCGCTGAGGGGGAATGGCAGTTTCGACGGTGCACATAATATGCTCTCTGGAGCTGTTGCATGTCCACATGTGTTCGAATCTGTCTGTGGCCTGCGGCTGGAGAGGACGGAGGGAGGACTCTGCGCGGGGCTGCCAGGGGCGAGAGGGGCGCGGCACGCTCGAACACACACACACACACACACACATAGGGCGACGAAATCTATACATATCTACTGCTCCCTGGCCAGGCCCATCCTCAACCCCGCATACGCCACGCCCTCCTGGCTTGGCCAGGAGAGCGCATACACAGCTCCTGGGTTCAAGATGGGCATGGTCAGGGAGCAGTGGAAATGTATAGATTTCGTCGCCCGAACACACACACACACGCACACACACACACACACACACACACACACACACACACACACACACACGCACGCACGCACGCACGCACGCACGCACGCACGCACGCACACGCACACACACACACACACACACACACACGCACGCACGCACGCACGCACGCACGCACGCACGCACGCACGCACGCACGCACGCACGCACACACACACACACACACACACACACATACACACACTCCGCGAAGCCGAATGGCGCCCGCCTCTCCCCCGGAGGGAGTCTGGTGCGAACCCCGCAGCCGGCGCTGGGGTGCTGGCGCAGCAGGCGGGGGGACAGCGCAACCCGGACCCCCACCCGCCAGAGCTGGTGATCTAGAAGGTCCTGCCTGGGCGATGAGGGTGGTCTCTTTATGGCCCCCAAGAACCCCCACAGAAACCACCCCGACCCCCAGCCAGGACCCCCTGGATCACCGGGTCGAGAAGTGGGGGGTCCTGGCTGGGGGTGCGGGTGGGCTGTGCTGTCCTCTGGACCGCGGCCAGGTTCCCGCCATGGCAGGACTGAGCTGACTCTCGGGTCGGGCGAAAGGGGGGAATAGCAAAGGGGGGGTTTGAGAATCAGCTCACGTAGCTGATTTTCCCGGCGCCTCCCGGAGCTGGATGGAGCTATGTATCGAGGAATGGGCCCCTCGGTGAAGCCGAAAGCAGCTGCATGCAGCAAATTTCGTAACCCCCCCCTTCCCAATCCCTCCCTTTCGCCCGGCCCGAAGGACTGAGCTGACTCGAATCGTGAAGTGGGATCGGAACGGCAACAGATCGCATCGACCGCGAGTCGTCCCGAACCGGAAATCGAAAAATCGGCTCGCCGCGCCCGGCTCCTGTGGACCCCGGCCGCTGCCAGCGAAGCCAGCGGCATCGAATCGCCTCGGAGAGGCGGTGCCAGCCAGCGAAGCGCATCGCATCGGCTCGGATCGCGGGCGGCCCTGCCGCGGCCGCTGCCAAAGGCTCTGAGTGTTCTGTCACCGCGCGAGCCCTGCAGTGCGAGGCGGCCTCGGGAGGCTGCCCCGGGGCTTGCCACCTGGCACGCCCGCACCCTCCGGCGCCGCCGCACAGAGACAGCACGAGCCTGCGGTGAACGTCCAGATGGTGGGGGCGTGGAGCGGGAGACGGAGGCGAGAGAAGCAGAACTGAGGGCGGAGAGCGGCTGAGGGGAGGACGCACCAAATACCAGGAATGGGAGAAGGACGAGGCGAATACAGACAGCGACGTGCCGCGCCCACCCACGAAGAAGCAGACGTCATCACGGCTGGCTCGCCCGACGGCGGCATCGAGGACTCGAAGTGACGAGATGGCCCGACAACTGCGCTCCCGGCGCCAGCAGCGGCGACTGTGGCGCCGAGGGCAGTGGCCAAGGGCGGAACCGAGGACGTGAGCGACGAGGGCGCCACCGCAGCACGTGGGCACCGCTGCAGAACGTGATCGTCCATGAGAAGCTTCCCGCCCATGGCGCATGGCGTGGCAGTAGACTCGAGGCCGCGTCCAGGCCTGCACAGTGGGGACGATGCTGAAAGAGAGGATGATTCAGGAGGGGAAAAAGCACACAGACACAATTAATCGTCCACTCCCAGGAAAATATGGGAAAATATGGGAAGTGGGGGGGAAGACAAAAACCTAGAAAATATTGAAACATATGGCGAATCCTTTTATTTGTGTGTATTTATTTGTGTCCCTGGGCCCCTTGAATGATGCACACGAGAATGACGGGGAGGAGGAGTGGCAGCGCGCAGACGGGGGTGGAGCGAAGGGGCAGTCTTCTGTTCAGGCACCTTGCCACTTGGAATGCGCTCTGTCCTCGAAGAAAGCTTTGAAACCTCTGCGACGGGGACGATCAGGCCCCTTCTCAGAATCCGCGTGCCTCGACATGAAAGGTCGCCCCCTCACCCCGACCCCTCGAGCGCGCCGCCAACGAAGGAAGGACGATCGCATAATGAAGAAGGATCCATGATCTCCTAAGCGAGCATTGCAGGATGCGCGAAGAATGCCAGACCTCACGGTGTGAGTGCCGGCGGGTGACCCCGGCCTACTGCCAGGGCAGCCAAGGGAAACGACCTCAGAAACATCAGAAACGATCATCGGATAATACTTGGCCTATATTGAAGGCGAGGAGGATGAGGGTCCGCTGGCGAGGACGAGGGTGAGGATGTTGAAGGTTGAGGCTGAGGGATGTGTGGGGGGAGCGGGGGAGCAAACAACTACATAACATAAGCAACAACCTTCGGCGGTCCGCGCGGATTTCTTGGGATCAGCACTGGAACTCCCACCCCTGGCGCGCGTATCGTTCCAGGGGCGCCGCCAGGGGGGCCTTAGCGCAGATCCGAGAAATCCGCGTGGAGCGTCAAGAATCTACTCCTGCTGTTTTTTGTTCCCCGAGGCAGGGGGATAAGGATCGGAGTGGACAAGGGGCGGGGTAGCCAATCAGCTATACGCAACGAAATATTGCTCGGGCGCCTCGAGGCGTCAAGAACGACCGTGTATCAAGGAAACGTGCCTGGCAGCGGAGCCGATACCAGCTGCACGCAGCGCGTAACTTGTGATCCTCCTTCCGCAGAGAACGAACATAACTTTATGAGCATAAGCCTTCGGAGCTCCGCGCGGATTTCTTGTGCCTATGCTGGGACCCCCTAGCGTCTCCTCCGGCACCGCCCCTGGCGGGCTCTGCGCGCCAGGGAGGGGGACCCAGCACAAGTCCAAGAAATCCGCGCGAAGCTCCGAAAGTGCATGCTTATGTAAGTTTGTCTTCGATTACATAAGAACCTGGATCCGATGTCTTGAATGTTCACAACGTGGGCCCCCTGTCTAGGGACCGGCTTTAATCCCGAGTCGTTTTGAACGGTCCAGGGGCCCGGCGATGGCAACCAGACGCCGAAATGTATGAGACATCTCCCGCCATGATCGTTTCACCACGCGAGGACGCCCGGGGACAAAGAGACACCGCTACCGCCACTCCCTGCGCCTCCCAGAGAGCGTGCTGACCAGGTTTCCGACGCCAATCCAGCCGTTGGGGACGGGGACCTCCTGGGTTGGACCGCCCGAAAGAGGGGGCGGGAGGGTGGAGCAGAGACGGAGCATACCCAGATGGTGTGTGGCGGCAGGGGGGGAGAGGCAAAAGGGCGGGATGCTGCTATGCGGGCATAGCAGCCTTTGGGGTGATCACCACGCGCCTTGAATATCGCTGCAAGGCGTGGCGAACCCAGACGTCCAGCGTCTAGCGGCTCGATTTGTTCGAGATGTGTGCCTTACCGGCACATCTCGGCCCCTTCCCTGGAGCAGGCTTCGCATCTCGCGTCGTGCTAGCCAAGGCCCCAGATGCCCGCAATGGCGGAGGACTAACGCTAGAAGAACAAGCAACTACATACTCCAGATTTCGTAATAAAAGGGAGGGGGTCTGGACCCTCCAAGACAAGCCATTTCAGACCTCCCCCGTGGGAGAACCCTCCAAAACATCGTCCCCAGACCCCCCTAGGCCCTCCAAGATGGCCTGGACGAGACCCCCCCCCGAAATGAGACCCCCCTCCCTTTATTACGAAATCTGGAGTATATGCAGTCGTACAAATCATTTCCCTGAGGTCCGCGCGGATGTCTTGGCTCGGCGCTGTAACTGTGCGCCGCCAGCGGGCCCGAAGCGCCGGCCGACCCAAGAATGTCGCGCGGAGCTCCGCAAGCATGTGCTTCTGCCAACCACTTCCTCTTCGAAGTGAGCGGCCGCGCATCGACATTACTTCCGCTGCCAGACGTCTGGGCGCGCAGCCCAAGGATGGGGAAGCCAAACGGTACTGGCACTGCTGCCCCCCGCGCCCCAGACCTCTCCCTGGGTGCGCCCTGGCCAAATAGGAGACCGATTTCTGACCACACCCACTTCCCGAGGTGCCCTGCGAAAAGCGGTTTCCAGAGGTGGAGGTGGGCAGCTTCCCCGCCCCAGGGGAAGGAAAAACTACCCACCTCCACCCCCGAGGGCCTATCATAGAATCGAGGATCCAGAGGTGGATGTGGTCAGAAATCGGTCTTCGACCAGGACTGTGGGGCGAATCCGGCCGTGGCGACGAGGGCCTCCCACGAGGCCTAGAAAAGGGCGAACACGAGGCAGGTGCAGCGCCGTCGGTCCGCCTCCCCCTCCCCTGGAAAAGGTGCGCGCAGTGTCCCCCCCCCCTTCTCAGGCTCCGCGCGCCTGCCGAGGACGACAAGGGCTCGACCTGAACGGCGCCTCTCGTTCTCGTGGTGCTGCCGTTTTCCCCCGCTTCTGTCTGAAATCCGCCCTCGCCCTCCTTCTCCTCCCCCTCCTCCTCCTCCTCCTCCTCCTCCTCCTCCTCCTCCTCCTCCTCCTCCTCCTCCTCCTCCTCCTCCCCCTCCCCCTCCTCCTCCTCCCCCTCGCCGCAAAACGAGGTCGAAACGAAAACGGCCCCCGGAATCGCCCAACGCACCGTTCAGGTCCACCCCCCTGGAGGGCGGCCCGCGGGCCCCCGACGCGACGCGCCGCTCGGCGGCCCCGCCCC